AGACCATGAGAGGACACAGGGAGGAGGTGGCTGTCTGCAAGGGAGACAGTCCACTCTCCAGACATCCAGCTTCCAGAACTGTGAGGAAATTTACTTCTGTTGTTTAAATCCCCAGGGTGTGGTACCCAGCGTGGTAGCTGAGCAGACTCATACAGGGCCCTTCACAGGCCTGTTACCGAGGGCCTCACACTCAAACCTTAGACTTTCATTGCCAAATGAAATTTTTGTTGTTTAAAGCATCCATTGTAAACTTTAAAAATATGCCTCAGCTTCTATAACTCTGTTTTGGCATTACTTCATTTATTAATATGCCAGAAGCCCCTCAGACTGAAAGGGGTGGGGCCTGCTAGTCTTTGCTCCAGCTCCTTCCTCTGCCTTCAGGGCCCACCCTCCCTTCTTATCTGTCCTCTTCTTCCAAGGTCTGCTTGACAGGCTGTTCCCTGTGGGGCCTCCCCTGCCCACCGCTCACAGCAGGGCCCCGTGAGGCCGGCTGGCTCTGCTGCAAGGAGACTGGCTGGCATGCAGCAGATGCCACATACTCCTGCCATGTGTGAGAATCAGAGTGGCCCAGATCTAATCAGGGAGGGATGTAGTACAAGGGACAGGCCTCTGGGTGCCCAGCAAACAGCTTTGTTCAAGTAACCCCGGGTCCACTGTCTACTTATTTAACCATCAACTATTTATGACTAGGTATTTAGGATGGTTTAAATCTTCCCATTTAATAATAGTGATTAAAAAAACATGCTACATCAACTATTTATGACTAGGTATTTAGGATGGTTTAAATCTTCCCATTTAATAATAGTGATTAAAAAAACATGCTGTTTTTGGCAACATGGCAGATGGATTACCTCAAAATTCCAGAGCAAACTAGAAATGCTGAGTAGACTCTAAGAAGATCCTTTAACATTTGTAGCTGAAGTCAGCAAGGATCAGCGTGCGTGTGTGTGTGTGTGTGTGTGTGTGTGTGTGTGTGAGAGGAGTGCTGTGCCGGTGAGGGTGCCCTTCAGGCACTCTCACCCAAGGTGGGAAGTGCTGTCAGAGCAGGCACACTCATCACAGCAAAGTGTTTGTGACCCTTTGGGTGTCTGTCTCTGGAGGACCAGCTGAAGGACCGGTCACATGATCCAAGGGGCCTAACAACAGCTGGCTGTCCCAAACAGCAAGGGGTTGCCTCCTGTCTGCTCCAGGGCTCAAAGTCATGGTTCAGGAACACAAATGCCTCCTGCTTCAAACCATCTGTGGTTCCCATTGCCATGCAAGTGAATCTGCCATCTGCCAGATGGCCCGCCCATGCCCTGCTGACCCCACGCCGGCCCCTCGCCCACCTCTACTCTGGCTGATGCCTGCCCTCATCCTGCGCTATTCCCACACTGGCCTTTGCACACACTTCCCTGCACCTGGAGCACCTCCCTCGCTCCCATTCCTGATCATGCGGCAGGACTGAGCCTTCCTGGCCCTACGGCTGGGTGAGGGACTTCCCCTGTGGGCCACACTTACCTGGGCTCCTGTCCAGCACTGAAGGGCAGCTGCTGCCTCCTTGCTTGAGCATAGTCTTTGAGCTCCTTGGGGCAGGGCCCCCATTGGTTACTTGCAGCCAGCTCCTGCTTGGTACAGAGGAGGCTTTCCTAAATAGTCGAGGAACAAAAAGGAGGAGAGAGAAGGAAGGAGGAAGTTCCCCGCAGGAAGCCTGAGCCACCTCCCCACCCCATGGGGTGGGTGGGGAGATGGAGAGGGCATCCCAGCAGGGGGAGTGGTGTGGACGGGGACTTTGTGGTGAAGCACAGGTGGGCAGTGGGTGGGTGAGGCGCCAGCATAGGGCTCCGCGTCAGAGCGCCTGGCTCCTCTCGGGATGGCACAGGAAGTATCCTCAGCTCTCCTCGGTGTCCTGTTCACGAAACAGGACCACCAGTCCCTGTGCGGTGGGAATCGACCAAGGAAGCCTGTGTGATGATACACTGTGAACCCTAAATGTTGGATGACCTGAAACAAATGAAATAATGTGAAAATTAATTCAGGATGCCTGAGATAAATTAATGATGAAATTGGGCTTTCTGCTAGGGGCCAATGGGAAGTCTCTAGAAGCTGGTAAGCAGGAGAGGGAGTGGAGCCAGGTATGCAGGTCAGGGTCACGAGGAGCCATACGTGGTCCTGGCCTCTCTAGCCTGGACCATCTTCTGCCCAGCTAGAGAGTTCAGGGACCCGTGTTCCCCTCTGCTGACCACCCCCACCATCTCTAAACACAGACATCAAAGCTAGACACCACTGCTATGCCAGGGAAGACACTGGGGACGCACAGGCATGTCAGAGAAGCTGGGTGTGCTGAGGGACATGGCACCAGCGAGATGCCCTGGGTGGCAGGGATCATGCAGGACCACGTGCAGTATGTGGTGCACAGGGGGATGGGAGCCGCACCTTGGGGAGGTCCTGTTGAGGTTATCCCCAGCAGGCAGGATCCCCTGGAGGGTCTTCATTTGTGGGATTGACTCAAAGCCAGAGAAGCAGGCTGGTGACTTGAGCTCCCCATGGCTCGTCAGCGGAGCTTCTCCCTGGGGAGGAGCAGGGCAGAGTCTTGGCTGCAGCTCTCCCAGAGGCAAAGAGTTGGTTTTCTCAGTTACCTACCTGGCCTGGATCACTGGGAGGCAGCTGCCAGGGATGGAGCCTGGCACTGTGCTCACATGGAAGGTCTGCACCTGCCCTGTCATGGCCTGAGACCCTGTCCAGGGTCCCCAGTGTCTTCCCCTTCCTATGGCTTCACTCTGCTCCAAGCTTGCGACAGTCACTTGTGGACCTTCTAACTGCCTCCTGACTGGGCTCCTCCCATGCTCATGGTGAGTCTCTGTCCTCTCTGAGCCTGTTTTCTCATCCCCAGGCAAAGACGTGGGAAAGCAGATGGGCACCTGTTTTCCCAAGTGATGGTCACTGGGCACTGGCCCTTGGGGTGCAGCTGGGAATGGGAGAGACAAAGACCATGTGCTCCCTGAAGTCCCCTCTGGGTGGACATGACCAGTCAGGCAATGGAAACAGACAGAGTGGGACCCCAGACTGAGAGGTGTCAGGGCTGTTCCTGTGAGCAAAGAGGCAGGGAAAGGCTGCTCCAGGCAGAGTGAACCAGAGAGGACATGACCCCCTGGAAGGGACAAAGGTGCAAGGCGATGGGAATACTCACCTCAAGGGCCGGGGTCGGGGAGGATCTGGGGACATCAGTAGATGCCCCAAGAGGGGTCCAGCAGAGCAGAAGTGCATTGGAGAAGCCTCATGCTTAGGGACCACTATGTAATTTTTCAGCCTGGTGCAAAATGAAACTGCAGAGACCCCACCAGGGTCATTTTGATTGAAAGTCAATCTCCTCTTCCCATGGGCCCATGGGCCCAACCCACAGCTGACAGGTAACCCCAAAAGATCGCACCTTTGTGCCAGAACATGCTCAGTACCTAGATTGGGGGCAGGCAGAGGTCCCCACTGATTTCCAGCCCAGGGAGGGGTCGGCTGCCACCTTGTCCCACCTCAAGATGCCTGGGGCCAATCCAGCAATCCCCATTTTTGCTTGAGCAATATAGTGGATCACAGGACCCCACACACCGTAGGCACTCAGGAGAATGTTCTTTGATGAAAGAAGGGCACGTCTCCATCACTCTCGAGGGCAGCTCAGTTGTGCTGTCTCCTGTTTCTCACACCCCTCCCTCTTGCACACGCTGACTGGTAGCCCTGGAAGAACCCTGGCTGGGCCACTAGGGCAGAGCCTGCCCACAGTTCCATCTCTGCCAGGGCAACCATATGGCTTCTCTCTCTCCATCTGCTCTCCCCCTCCCTGGCCTTATCTTTCCCTTCCGTCTCCATGGCGACTCACCACTTCAGCTTGCCTGCATCCCAGCCTCTGCCAGGGATTCTGTCAGGCTCCATCCCTCCCTCCTCTGGAGCCCTGTTTCCCCGCAGTCCTGTCTCCTCCCCCTGGGGTGAGGCCAGCCTCCTCTTTCCGGACTGTCACATCTATTTTCTGGCTCTGACGGAGTCAGCTCCTCTGGGGAGACCATCCCCCACCCACCCTCCACACGCCACTGCTCCGGAGCCCTTCCAGGAGGAAGCCGTCCTTACTGCCTGCTGAAGGTCTCTTGGGCCTCCTCTCTCTCTCCTGGACCCCGTACCTATGCCCAGGAGCCCATGCCGAGGTCCGCCTTGTCAGTCATTTCCTTCTGTCGCCGGCGTGGCAAACAGGCGAGTCTTCAGTCCTGAGATCTGGGAAAAGAACCCTGGCTGGGCCACTAGGGCAGAGCCTGCCCACAGTTCCATCTCTGCCAGGGCAACCATATGGCTTCTCTCTCTCCATCTGCTCTCCCCCTCCCTGGCCTTATCTTTCCCTTCCGTCTCCATGGCGACTCACCACTTCAGCTTGCCTGCATCCCAGCCTCTGCCAGGGATTCTGTCAGGCTCCATCCCTCCCTCCTCTGGAGCCCTGTTTCCCCGCAGTCCTGTCTCCTCCCCCTGGGGTGAGGCCAGCCTCCTCTTTCCGGACTGTCACATCTATTTTCTGGCTCTGACGGAGTCGGCTCCTCTGGGGAGACCATCCCCCACCCACCCTCCACACGCCACTGCTCCGGAGCCCTTCCAGGAGGAAGCCGTCCTTACTGCCTGCTGAAGGTCTCTTGGGCCTCCTCTCTCTCTCCTGGACCCCGTACCTATGCCCAGGAGCCCATGCCGAGGTCCGCCTTGTCAGTCATTTCCTTCTGTCACCGGCTTGGCAAACAGGCGAGTCTTCAGTCCTGAGATCTGGGAAGGAGAGGGGGTGGGAAGGGACCACCTGGGGATGGGGGATGGGTCTGCGGAGGGTGGGTGAGGGGCCACTGAAACCCAGGATAAAGATGGAAGTCTGGATTCTTTCCTAAATAACATCTTTTTCTTCTCCCAATTTTCTCTCCAAGGAGAGGAAACGGAGCTTCATGGGAAACAGCAGCAACAGTTGGTAAGTGGCAGGACCTGCCAGCAACAGTGATGCAATGGACCTGGTCAGTAGACTGGTCCAGAAACATGGTGGTCTGTGGCCACTGTGCCTCCAGAGGCCTGACTCAGGGGAGGAGAGCCAGGCTGGACAGTGGAGGGAGGTACCCTGAAAATTGGGTGGGTGCTACAGGGTGAGTGGAAGGAATATTCTAAGGACCAGAGCCATCTGCTCCTCCCCCCTCCACCAGGAGGCTCCCACCCTAAGGCCCTACGTGGGTGGCTCACGGAGGAAGTGGGTAGGAAGCATCACTCCTTGCGGGGGTCTGGCGGGAGTCAGTAACTTCTTGAGGCAGCCTTGCAGTGGAAGGCCCCGGGAGAGGACTTTCATGAGCATTTTGTCCCAGGCACTGGGCAGGGGCTGTGCACGGCACCATCTTCTTTGATCACCCTGTGAGGTAGGCTCCTGCTTATCTCTTCTCCTCTGACAATGAGGAAAGCAACCCAGATTGGGGCAGGAGCCTGCCTCCGGTGGTATGGTGCGGTAGAGCTAGGGTTCCATCCCAGCTTGCTCCTGTTTGAAATCACTCTGGGGTCCCTAGGTTCTGGGGTGCAAGTCAGCGTGGCCTCTCTGGGGCCACCTGACCTCCCCACCAGATCCCTGGCCTGGGTCCCCTGCACCCCACTCGCTGCTCCCAATGCCCACTCTGCCCCCAGGTCCCACACACCATTCCCCAAGTTGGAGCTGAGCCTGGGGTCCCGGCCTGCGGCACCCCGGGAGCTTCCTGCCTGCTGCATCTGCCTGGAGAGGCTGCGTGAGCCCATTGCGCTGGACTGTGGCCATGACTTCTGCACGCGGTGCTTCAGCACGCACCGCCTCCCTGGCTGCGGGCCGCCCTGCTGCCCGGAGTGCCGGAAAATATGCAAGCAGAAGAAGGGGCTGCGGAGTCTGGGGGAGAAGATGAAGCTCCTGCCACAGAGGCCGCTGCCCCCCGTGCTGCAGGTCTGGGACCTGACCTGGTAGCAGGGTGGGGCACAGAGAGGCCCAGCTCAGCGGGGGTAGGGGCTTTGGCTCTTTTGTGGTTGTCAGGATTGGGAATGGAGTTCAGGTCTGACTCCCACAGCCTGGATGCTCAGGGAAGCCCCTTCCTCCCGGCCCAGGAGGCCTGTGCCGTGAGGGCAGAGCCCCTGCTGCTGGTGCGAATCAACGCGTCTGGAGGCCTCATCCTGAGGATGGGTGCCATCAACCGCTGCCTGAAGCACCCCCTGGCCAGGGACACCCCCATCTGCCTCCTGGCTGTCCTGGGGGAGCCGCACTCAGGGAAGACCTTCCTCCTCAACCACTTGCTCCAGAGCTTGCCGGGCCTGGTGAGGGCAGGGCTGGGGCAGGGGGCTGGGGCTCAGGTTAGCAGTCCCACCTGGCTTTGGGAGGGGATGGGGACTCAGTGGATCAACTGATGCTCTGCTTCTCTGCCTGGCAGGAGTCTGGCGAGGGCAGCTGGCCGAGAGGAGGGGGGTCTCTGCAGGGGTTCAGATGGGGTGCCAATGGTCTCACCAAGGGCATCTGGATGTGGAGCCACCCCTTCCTGCTGGGGAAGGAGGGCAAGAAGGTGAGAGGAGAAAGGACAGAGGTCAGGACTGGGTCAGGGAAGGGGAATGACAGAGATAAGTAAAGGGGAAGAGCAAGGAGAAGCTTTGGGGACAAAGACTGGAAGACGGGTTGGGGGGTGCAGGTGGAGGAGCGTGGCAGGCCAGACCCCTGGGCGCGTCTCCCCCACCCCTGTACAGGTGGCTGTGTTCCTGGTGGACTCGGGGGACACTATGAGCCCTGAACTGAGCAGAGAAACCAGGACCAAGCTCTGTGCTCTCACCACGATGCTGAGCTCCTACCAGGTGAGGGCGCTGCCACCCACCACCCGTACCCCACCTGCCCTGCACAGCTCAGCTTTCTCCACACTGCCTCACCTCAGCTGGGTCTGGCCCTCAGAATGCCAGGGATGGTCACTCTGACCTCACAGGCTTTTGTGTCTGGGGCCCCTGCAGGCTGTGGAGGTGCACCTGCAAGGGAGGGAAGCCCCAGTCAGTGAAGGTGAGGGCACGGTTTGTTCTAATGGTGGGCAGCTGAAGGCATTCCTTCCTTCCTTCCATCCCTCACTGCCAGCCCAGCCCCGCAGGCTGTGGAGACCCCAGCTGGCACCTCCTGGGTCCTGAGCCCCGTATTCTACCAGTGGGCCCCTTCCTCGCTGGGGTCATCCCAGCATCTCTTTGCCTTTGCAGACCCTCTTCCATCTTGTTCTCCTTGGTTCCAGATCCTCAGCACCTCCCAGGAGCTGAAAGATACAGACTTGGAATATCTGGAGGTGAGGAGCCATTTGGTCTTGGGGGTGCCACCACATCCCTGCCCTGACCTTGAGGACCGTGGCCTGGCCTAGCCAGACTCAGATGCCTCCCGTTCTGGCTAGAATTCCATGACCTGGAGCTGGGTTTGACGGCAGAGGGGGAAGCCTGAGCTGCTGGCTGGGGAGAGGCGGGGGAGTCCTGGAGCTGGAAGCTGGGGGTACAGTGGACGCAGAGGGGAGCCGCAGGCCTCGGAGTGGCCCAGCTGTGACCTTCTGTGCCCTGCCCCCAGATGTTTGTCCACGTGGCTGAGGTGATGGGCCGGCATTATGGGATGGTGCCAATCCAGGTGAGGTACCCACTTCTGGACTTGCCACCCCAGGCCCCGACACACGCCTGGGCTGCTGATGTCAGGACCTCTTCTCTTCCAGCACCTGGATCTCTTAGTTCGAGACTCCTCCCACCCCAACAAGGCAGGGCAGGGACACCTGGGTGATATCATCCAGGTGAGAGGTGCAGACGGGGACAGGGCAGAGGGCGGAGGAGCCGGGGAGGGATCCTGCAGGCAAAGCTGGGCCCCCAGCTCGGAGTTCTTCCTGTCACCTCCCAGAAATCCTCTGGCAAGTACCCCAAGGTTCAGGAGCTGCTCCAGGGGAGGCGAGCCTGCTGTTACCTCCTGCCGGCTCTGGGGAGGCGGTGGGCGAGCAAAGGCCACGGAAGCCCGGGAGGTGAGTGTCCCCAGGAGCAGCGCCCCACCAACCTGCCTTCCTCCGGGCCACCGGAGGCCCCTGCACTGCAGGGTCTCCCGGCCTCTGACGCCCTTTCTCCTCCCAAAGCCCCCGGTCTCCTCAGCATGAGGGGTCTCTTCCTCAGACGCAGATGACGGGTCCCGCCACCTCCGCGCCTATGTCGCCGAGGTGCTGAGTGCGGCCCCCCAGCACGCCAAGAGCCGCTGCCCGGGCTACTGGAGCGAGGGGCGCCCCGTGGCCAGGGGGGACCGGCGGCTGCTCACCGGGCAGCAGTTAGCTCAGGAAATCAAGGTGAGAACCCTCCCTGGGGACCCGGGCGCCCCGGCGGGCCCCCGCCCTCTCTGAGCCTCTCGGCCGCTGTCCCCACAGAACCTCTCGGGCTGGATGGGGAGGACAGGCGCCGGGTGCGCCTCTCCAGATGAGGTAGGAGCGCCCCGGGCAGCCGCGGGCGGGCGGGGGGCGGCCGGACGCGGGGGGCTCAGGCTGCCCGCGGGCCGGGAGGGAGGCAGCTTGGGTTTTCCCGCGGACAGATGGCCGCCCAGCTGCACGACCTGAGGACCGCGGAAGCTGCCAAGAAGGAGTTTGAGGAGTTCGTGCGGCAGCAGGTGAGGCGGCCCCGGGGCCGGCGGCGCAGGTGTCGGGCCAGGCCTGCCCACACCGGGCGGGCCCCTGGGTCTCCGGGTCAGGGCGCCTCTCTCCTCTCTCTCCCCGTCCCAGGACGTGGCCACCAAGCGCATATTCTCCGCGCTCCGGGTGCTGCCCGACACCATGCGGAACCTCCTCTCCACCCAGAAAGACGCCATCCTGGCGCGCCACGGCGTGGCCCTGCGGTGCAAGGGCCGGGAGCAGACCCTAGAGGCCCTGGAGGCCGAGCTGCAGGCCGAGGCCAAGGTCTTCATGGACTCGTACACCGTGCGCTTCTGCGGCCACCTGGCGGCCGTGGGGGGCGCCGTGGGTGCCGGGCTCATGGGCCTGGCGGGGGGCGTGGTGGGCGCCGGCATGGCAGCCGCCGCGCTGGCTGCTGAGGCCGGGATGGTGGCAGCTGGCGCCGCGGTGGGGGCCACGGGGGCTGCCGTGGTCGGGGGCGGCGTAGGTGCTGGGCTGGCTGCCACGGTGGGCTGCCTGGAGAAGGAGGAGGACGAGAGGGTGCAGGAAGGGGACCGAGAGCCCCTGCTCCAGGAAGAGTGACAGCCCCCAGAAGACGGGAAGGCGGGGAGAGGTTCCAGGGGAGAGGGAAGGAAGTGGGGGAGCAGAGGCGTGGGAGCCATGTTCCCAGGGCCCCCGTGTACCGCCCACCTGGATGAACGAATGCCCAGTGTCCTCATGGCTGGCTGAGCTGGAGGCTGAAGGTGGCTCCAGGAAGCTGGGGAGGCCACCTGGGGTAGAAGACAGTGTTTGGGGGCAGTGAATAGAGTGTAAGGCCCGTTTCTGGCTGCAGCTGATTGCTAACTTGCCATTGTTCCCAGATAAACGACCCAGGTCTCCCACCAGAGTGAGGCTCCACCTTCCCTGTCCTGGCTTACTCTCCTGGATGACCCTGGATTGTGGGAAGGCTGAGCACGTGCCATTCTGGAAGTCTCCCCTTGGGTGGAGTGGACACCTGTCCCTTCACAGATGGGAGAAGCCCCAGGTGGAGTGACCTCAGTCAGGGATCTGGGAGCACTGGTGAGGGGGTGGGGGGCACTGAGCAAAACCAAAGAGTGCGGGAATCGTGAACAGTGGCCCAATCCCCCTCGTGGAGACGTGCCCCTACAACTCTTTTCAAAGCTGCCCCAGCAGGACAAAAGTGGCTACCCCTCCACGTCAGGATGTCGCCTTGAAGCAGTCCCTGAAGGTGTCCGCATGGTTGTGCCCTTTGTTAAGTCTGGTCAGACAGCGGGGTGCCCATGTTCATTGTGGAATGCTGTCCCAGAAAACGGTTAAATGCCAAAGAAAAGCACCTGGAATTGAATTCTGAGCTAGACCACACAGCACTCAGAGCAGTCAGTGAAAGTCCTTCAAGGGACAGGGGAGCACCTTTCCTCCTGAACACCCCCCTCTTTCCTGAGCCTGTGAGAAGACCCCTCTGCTCTGAGTTAGCCAGAGATCTGTGTGCAGCTGCCCACAGGGAGCCTGAGGGCTGTGCACCTCTCCTGGGGGACAGGAAAGTCCCACTGGAAGACCTCTAGACTATTAAACTGTAAAGGATTAATGGGCACATTATATGAAAAATAAAACGTATGTGCTTGCATGTCAGCTTCCTGGTAAATTATTGAGACAAGCCTTGGAAGGTGAACCCAGGCACTCCAAGCCTGCAGGAGTTGCAGAGGGCTGAGGCTGAGGCTGCCCTTGCAGGCTTTCATTAGGACTTGGGGTCCTGCTTCCTGGTCTCTCCTGCCTCAGATGACCCTGTGAACAGGGTGTCCCCTGGCATCTGTCCTGGCAGAAGAAGAGAATGGAGGCTCAGAGGGGAGTCCTCGTTAAAGCTGTGGACAGAGGAGGAGCCCAGGACCACTCCTGCAGGAGTCTGCCTGCCAGGCGTTCACCTGCCACTTCTCCTCCCCACCTCAGCTCCCCATCTCAGAATTACAGCAGCTGACACTGGGTCCAAACCCTGCCTCTTGCAGATGCAAACCCAGGGAGGAGAAGGCTCAGCTACTGCTCCCCAGCTGGCCAATGACAGGAGGAGGGAAGCCCTGACCTCCTGACCCCACAGCTGGTGTTCCAACCAGAAGTCAGAAGAGAGTTTGTTAAGGTCAGCTGTGCTGAAATTGAGACTGCTCTTCAGTGATTTCTCCCCGTCCTTCCAATTCGGTCCAGCCCTGGGAAACAGTGGTGGAGACTGAGACAGAAGGACGTGGTCTGGGACACATACAGACAGCAGTTAGCAAGCTGGGGACAAAAACAAGTATGCAGAGAAATCCCAAAACCAGGGTACGGGGCTGGACAGGGGGATGGCAGTGGGCTGAGAGTGACTGGGCCAGAGGTGGGGAAAGGGCACAGACTTTGGTGCTTGTCGAGAAAGGCTTTCTGGGCCCTTCTGTCATCATCTGGTGGGCATAAGTTGCAAAATCCCCTATGCATGGGGGCTGACAGACTCATGTCTTCAGGGGGCCTCTGAGGACTCCAGGGAGCATGTTGTCTAACTAGAATCCCACCTGGTTGTACTGAAAGGAGCTGCAGCAGGCTACTTCTAACAGCAGAGACATTGGCCCAGTGGGAGAAATATGCTCTTCAGAGGTAAGATGAGCCATGTTATGTAGTTTTTGTCTTATGCCTTATATTTGCAAAGCATCTTCCCAAACATCATTTTCCACATACTTGGAAACCACCTCATGCAGTACACAGAGTACCCATTTTTACAGGAGCTCATAGAAATGATGTGTATTCATTGAAACAACTAGTCAGAGATAAGTCAGGACTTGAATCCAAGATTTCTGATGCCAAATTCCTTGCTCAGGTGAACTTTCACTCCACAAGTCTCTCCAGACTCAAAGATCAGGCTTCTGGGTCTCAGACCCATGTAGGGGGCTGTAACTCTGGGGAAAAATCCCAGGACAAAATACCTTTGAAACTGAAATCAGTCAAAGGCAGAAATAAAGTGGGAGAAATCCATTTACTGCTCAGAAGCAGTCGTGCACTTCTGCTCTCCTGGGTCTCTCATGACCCAGCTGCAGAAAAAGGGGGCTCCACCCAACCTCTCTGGTCCACATATGCCCTCACTTGTGCTTGTGATTACCTATTGATATGGAGTTCCCTGCTTCTCTCTACCCCTTGGAAACACCTATTGATATGGAGATGCACTATGGCCAGATGAGAGATTCTGGAAATATTGCAATTTCACCCACAGCCCACCCTTCCAGAAGTCTCGCCTCACAAATCTACTTGTTCCTCATCTTATGTAATGGCCCCTGTGCGAGAAAGCTGGAGCATGGTAACCAGACTAATAACAAACAATAGCAACAGCAATAAAATCATGATTATCTTCAAGCCAAAGGATTCATCTAGGTTCAAAATCCTATGCAGATTAAGTTCACAGCTGGCCCATTCCGCAGGTGGTCAGTAGCTGAACAGGTAGGGAGTTCAAAGCAATCATCACACGGCAGCTGCAGCCTGGGGGCACATCCAGGCCATGAGGACTGTAGGAGAAAATAACCTTAAGGGCGATAAGATACATGTTTTAATGACACCAGCATAGGCAAATCTTGTCCATCAGGTAGGATACATGCAAGAGAGTGGTCCTGTGACAGGACAGTGGCAGGAATGGGATCTTGTCCTGGTCTGGTCTAGTGTACCAGACTTTTACCCCCCTCCCTGTGATAGTTACAGATGGGTCAATATATAGGGCTACAAGAGGTACATGCACTGGCCATAAAGATAAAACAAAACTTCCCGGTAAGAGGCTCTTACCTCCCAGCTGTTTTGGGTATGCTACCATGATCTTTGGGAGCCACACTGCTGTTATTCCAGGAATACACAGGAAGCCAGCTAACAGGCCTTTCTCCCAAGGTGCCAGAAGGATCAGCCATCACCAGTCTATGTGTCAAAACATTCAGGGCCAGGTCCACTCAACAGAGTCTCCAGGGTTTAACGCAGTTGAGGCTGGCAGCAGGATGTTGCTCTGCTGGCCATATCCTGGCTTCAATAACTCCTCTTTGGTTTGTATATACAATTATATAGGAGAGGCAGCAAGGTGTGTTAGCATATCCACAGGGCTTAAGCCTCCATTTCAGGACTTCTCATTCAGATGCCGCAGCACTGTCCATAAATGAACTGACCAACCCCGTAGACTACTGGTGTCTGACTTCAAGCCAAATTTCAACAAACCATTGTACCTTTCTATCATGCCTGCTCCAGTAGGATTATATGGTACATGAAACTTCTACTTTATTCCTAATCCCTGCATGCATCCTTGTAACGCATGTCCAGTAAAGTGGGTGCCTTGATCGCTCTCAATCACCTGTCACCAGCCATAGGCTACAAAAAGATGCTCCAGGCCCCTCTTGGTGGTTTGCTGATCTGCATGGTGTGCAGGAAAAGCAACCATCAATCCTGTAGCTGTGTCACACAAGTCAGGGCATACTGATATCCTTCTGATCTGGGCACAGGCCCAATGTAGTCTGTTTGCCACCTGACAAGAGGTATTGTCCCATGTTGCTACAGAACTCGGGGTAAGTCCCTCTTAGAGCACACAGGGCATTCCTTCTGGGCTCAGCTGCCTTCTTCAAAGGTCAATGGCAAGCCCCATCAACCAGCTACAGCCCATGTTGTCTTTTGCCCTGCATGAAACAAACGCTGATGTAACCATTGGGCGACATAAGAGGCAGGCTTTCCTTGTAGCCAGTGCACCTGGGCCAATGTGCCAGCTTCATCATTCCCCGGGGATGCCAAAGGCAAATGGCCAGTCACATGATATGTGGTAACTGCCTCAGTCTGACCAGAGGCCCATAGGTCTTGCCACAACTCTTGCCCCCAAAGGGGCCAGTGACCAACCATCCAGTTGGCATGATACCATGTCAGCAGCCACAGGGTCAAGCCCTGATAGATGGCCCAGCTGTCAGTGCAGACAACTATGGCAGAAGGCTCCTGGGTGATCACGAACCACACTGCCCACAACTCTGCCCACTGACTGCTCTTCCCCTCTCCATCCTCCATCTATTGTCTTAGTCTTAGGATGGAAAGATACAGCCCTCCACTTCGGGAACTTCTCACTACTGGAGGCATCTGTATACCAAGCATCTTCAGGGGCTTTTCCCTGCTGATAAGGACTCTTGGCTACCAATGACTCAGAAACAAGTTCTTCCTGCTTTCCACTGGTATACATCACTGGCCCCAATAAGTGCTGGAGTTCTCTACTTAAGGGTCTAGTAGAGACGGTGCTACTGTCCTGTAAGTATGTGCCCCATTTGACCAGTGTAGGTGTCTGTGCCACGCCACTCCATGGACTTTGGGTCCAGTCTAGCACCCATACTGTGATGGGATAGGTGGTTATTACCTTGGTAGGAGCTGTTCTCGTGATGGGCTCTGTAGCCATCAAGGCATGGTACACAGCAGCCGGTTGCTTCTCTGTAAAGGTGTACCAGACCTCTGCTCCTTTCCATAGTTGTGACCAGAATCCAACAGGTTGGTGTGTCCATTCAAGCAACTGCCAAAGACCCCATCCATAACCATCTTCGGTTACATAAACATCTAGCTCACAGGGCCTGGATGAGTCCATTATATTCAAGGCCTGTACAGCCTTGACTGCCTGCTTGGCAGCAGTAAAAGCAGCTGCACATGTCTCATCGTAGTCCCACCTGATGTCCTTTTGTACCAACTGGTATAAGGGCTTCAGAATTTGTGCCAAGTGTGGGTTAAACACTCTCCAGTAGCCCCAAAGACCCAAAAACTCTTGTAATACTCACAGGGGCATGGGTGGGGAAAGCCTGGACTTTGTCTATAACTGCTTCTGGGATGACTTCAGTTTTACCCGACCAGACAACCCCAAGAACTTTACAGACAAACCAGGTCCCTGAACCTTGGTGCTGTTCACAGCCCATCCTTTTTCCTGTAGATGTTGCAACAGTCTAGGAACTGCCCCTTCTAAATCTTAAGAGAATCAGATGTGAGCATAATGTCATCAGTGTAGTTATACAGAGCACCGTTTGTGGTTTGTTCCATGTGGCCAAGTCCTGGGCTACAAGTCCAAAACAGATGGTAGGACTGCGGAGGTATCCCAGTGGAAGGACAGGGAATGCCCACTGCCAGCCTTCGCACGTGAAGGCAAACTGTTCCTGGCTTTCCTATGCTTTGTCAATAGAAAAGAAAGCATTAGCAAGGTCTACTACATAATGATACATCCCTAGTTCATGACTAAAAGTGTCTATAATGGGTGCTATAGAGGGGAAAGCAGCATGTAAAGGGGATGTGACTTTATTCAATTCCTGTAGCCCATGGCCATACACCAGAAGCCATCTGGCTTTTTCACTGGCCACACGGGGGAATTAAAATGACTATGAGTGGGCTTTACGAAGTCCACCTTCTCAAACTCCTGTGGAGTTTCTCCAATTTTCTTGTGTCACCCAGGAAATTTTTAAATTTTATTTTATTTTAGTGTCATTAATCTACAATTACATGAGGAACATTATGTCTACTAAACTCCCCCATCACCAAGCTTCCCCCACATACCCCACCGCAGTCACTGTCCGTTAGTGCAGCAAGATGCCACAGAATCACTACTTGTCTTCTCTGTGTCGTACAGCCCTCCCCGTGCCTCCCCCAACATTATGCATGCTAATTGTAATGTCCCCTTCCCCCCACAACAGCCCTTATCCCTCCCTTCCCACACATCCTCCCCAGTCCCTTTCCCTTTGGTAACTGCTAGTCCATTCTTGGGTTCTGTGAATCTGCTGATGTTTTGCTCCTTCAGTTTTTTCTTTGTTCTTATATTCCACAGATGAGTGAAATCATTTGATACTTGTTTCTCTCTGCCTGGCTTATTTCACTGAGCATAATACCCTCTGGCTCCATCCATGTTGTTGCAAATGGTAGGATTTGTTTTCTTAGGGCTGAATAATATTCCATTCTGTATATGTACCACATCTTCTTTATCCATTCATCTACTGATGGACACTTAGATTGCTTCCATTTCTTGGCTATTATAAATAGTGCTGCGATAAACATAGGGGTGCATCTGTCTTTTTCAAACTGGGCTGTTACATTCTTAGGGTAAATTCCTAGGAGTGGAACACCTGGGTCAAATGGTATTTCTATTTTGAGTTTTTTGAGGAATCTCCATACTGCTTTCCACAATGGTTGAACTAATTTACATTCCCACCAGCAGTGTAGGAGGGTTCCCCTTTCTCCACATCCTCGCCAACATTTGTTGTTGTTTGTCTTTTGGATGG